TGAGCTGGCCCTGCTTGGAAGGCATTCACCTGGTGCTGAGCTCCAGGAGTGTGTGTGTGGCAGCATCCCCACGAGCCAGTGCAGCCCTGAGCTCGGAGCCAGGCAGATAGTGGGGCTGACACAGAGCTCAGCACTGAGTGGATGCTCCAGGGCTGCAGGCAGCAGGGAGGAAGGCAGGAGGAGACAGCACTGGGAAATCAGAGGACTGGGAGAAGGCCATGGGAGGACGAGGCTCACCCGCATTCCTGCCTTCCCCTCGGTGTAAGGTACAATCTGGGAAGGGGATGCAAAGGGACAGCTTGGGAGCATATGGGGGTCTGCCAGAGGCAGAGAGCAACTGAAAATCAAGACCCCCCTCTATCGATTTAAGGAATCACTGTCTCCTCCCTGCCCCCCATAGCATGCAGCCTCGGGGGATGTGCCGACCCTTCACCCTCCTGCCTGCACACCCAGTGGGGATGGGGCAGCGCATCTCCCCGGCTCTCGGTTCGGGGCCCGTGCACTGAGGGGAGCAACCCTAGCTCAAATGCTCGGTTTGCGGGTAAAGCCGGGGCAGAGCAAGTCCCCCCTCCAACCCAGCTCGGCGTGAGAATGACACTCCCCAGCTCAGACTCAATCCAAGGGAAATGAGGGAGCTGAGCACACCCTGACTCAGACACCCCCTCCAAGGGGTAACGGGTGGGAGATGAAGAAGCACCCCCGGAGCGAGTCAGCCCCTTCCGGGAGGGGCAGAGCATCCCCCGGGGCACGGCAGGCTGAGCATCCCTACTGCGGCCCCGCCCGGGGGGCAATGGGGAGCATCCCCGGTAGGGGGGGTGGGGGGAGGAGGGCAAAGCATCCCCGGAGGGTGGCAAAAAGGGCACAGCCCGCCGAGTCTAGCCCCACCGGGGCTGAGCGTACCCACGGGGGGGCCGAGCATCTCTCGGGGGGCAGCAGAGCATCCCCGGGGGAAGCAATACAGGCAGAGCCCTCCGGGTCCGGCCCCACCGGGGGGGCTGAGCACCCCCGGGCGGCCCCACGGGGCTCAGGGGGGCAGAGCTCCCCCCGGGCGGCCCCGCGCGGGGCCGAGCATCCCCCGTGGGCAGCGCGGCCCCGCCCGCACTCACCGCCCGCCGAAGTCGCTGGAAGCCGCCGCTGCCGCCGCTGCCGCCCCGCCCTGCCCCGCCCACTGCGTCACCGTCCCCGCCTGGCCACGCCCCCGGCCACGCCCCCGAGCGGCCCCGCCCCCAGGGGAGGGGGCCGGGGGTCGGGGGCCGGGGGTGCTCCCGGGGACAGGCACCTCCCTGGGGACAGCGTACCCCTGGAAAGGCGAGGGACCCCTCCTCTGGGCGTCACAAGGCTTTCAGGAGCGACAGGAATCCCCCCAGGGGAACTCTCCTGGAGGGCAGAAACCCCCTTGGGGGCAGGAATTCCCCCGGGAGGACAGAAGACTCTGAGGTGGAGCAGAAATGCCCCCGTGGGAGTAGAAACTCTTGTGGGGAAGGTTCCTCCCTGGGGGAGGCACAGCAATCCCCCTGGAATGGGCATAGAACTCTCCTGGGGACAGGAACCTCTTCGGGGTGTGTAAGTGCCCGCAGGGGCAGGACTCCCCAGGGGTCTTGTCCAGCCCCGCAGGGAGGGAGGGAGGCAGGAGCAGACCCGCGCTCTCGTGTCCGAAGCCCTTCATGCCCCGTCCCCCCACCATGTGGGGGGCAGCGATGGAGCCAGGCAGTGACCCCCGGAGTGCCCCAGCCCCCTCCTCACCCTGCAAGGCTCAGTTCTGAGCCCTGGGGGATGAGATGTGTCACCCCGGGCTCCCCTCAAGAATGTCTTCGGCATCATCAATGGGATTTGGGGCAGAGGGCGCCCATGAACTTCAGCGGGAGCAGCCAAAAGCCCACCTTGCTTCATCATCCTGCCCTGCACAGGGGCATCCTTCACAAACAATTCATTTGGGGTCCTTGGAAGCACAGCCCCTGGCACAGCCTTTGGGATCCCTCAGCAGTCCTCACCCTCCCTACCAACGAGGAGCTCCTTTCTGGGACCCCACTGGGAACAGCTGGGCATCATCACAGAGCAGCACCTTCCTCTCTCCAGGAGCTCATCCTCAGGATTTTTGCTGGAGGACCCTGAGGAGGTCTCACATAAATGCCTCCAACCCACCAGAGGAGGGAGTGTGCCGGATCCACCTGCTGCCAGCCAGACTCAGGAACAACTGCCTTCAATCCCAAGAACATTTCACCTCTTTTCCACGTGCCATAGTTTTGTAAGCCAAGACAAGCTTCACTTTTTAAAAATAATACTGTGATACAGTTCTCAAATAGCAATGATGAATGGGATAATCCAAGGAAAACGTTTTCAAGTAAAGAGGTGGGTGCAGCCAGGAGCACCAGGATCTGGTTTATTGACTGCCATCCACATTAATTTGTATCCATTGCCTTAAGAACAGATGGATTAGGAGCAGCCTTTCTGTCAAGGAATGGCCTTTCCTGCCTGGGATGATCAGAAGTTTTCTCAATCAAATATGTTCCTCGCTGATAAAATGCTCTTTGTTTATTTAAGAAATGCTGAGAGAAATAGGGTCGGGCAGGGAGGTTACAGACGTACCAGCTCCTGGCCATGGCTGGGAAGCAGAAGGAATGTGGATTTCCTGGATTTGTCCATATTCCATGCTTTATCCTGCTCTGGAGAGGCCCAAGAGCTGACACCACAGCTGTAAAAACATCTCACTGTCATTCCAATCGTCCCCTGAAGTTTTGTAGGAAAGGGGCACAAGTGGGAAAGCAGCACTCTGGAGTGTTCAGAGTCATTGAGGGAGAATGGGGCAGGGCTGGGCTCTTTGGTCACTGTGTAAACCCCAAAGGAGGATTCCACCAGGCTGCCCAGTTTACCCCAGCACTGGGCAGAACTCCCAGGCAGCTCCTGGCAGTGCCCAAATCCCCCTGTGAGCAGGGCACAAGCCCTCAGGGGGACACAGGCCCCAAAATCACCATCAGCCCCTGGGCTGCCAGTCACGATTTCCCTTTGCAGATCCCCTGGAACCAATTCCTCCCCCATGGGGTGGCACCACTCCTTCAGCAAGCTCTGAGCACTGATTTCAGCCCTAAAAAATAGCAAATGCAGTTTACAGCTGGTGGGCACCCATCACTGCTCCCACCACAGAGGTGTGGGTGGCACTGGGAGCCCGTGGTGTGGGCTGTGCTTGGGCACTGCTCAGTGGGTGTCTCCTGGGAGTGCTCCAAATCCTCTGAAATCATCAGGACAAACCCCGACAACACTGTCTTTTTAGTGTCAGCGGCATTACTTTATCCTTGGCCAGGGTGTGTGTGGCCAACAGGGTTCCAGCCTCCCCACAGACAAAAGTACAAAACCTTTTCATGTGTTTATACATTTTTAGAAGAAAAAAACCAACCAACCAAAAAAACACCCAAACAAACAAAACAAAACTTCGTTTGGTCTAGATTCCATAATTCTCTTATCATTCTCTTTCATTTAATACTATTCTATCCTCTACTGGTTACTGATTTCTCACTTCTTATGTTAATTAGTCCATCTTTTTAGTCTTTTTAGTTACTTTGGAAAGTAGGAACTGTTAACACATAGATGGAGTCTTGTTCGCCTCTTCTTTATCTTCAGGTTTCTGCAAAATGCTCCTGTATCTCATAAATTCAACATTCCAGATGTCCAACCTCACCAATATGTTCTGCTCTCCCTGGCTTCGTTCATCAAAGCATATCAGACTTAGTTTATCAAAACTTCAATTTCAGTACTTTTCCCAATCTGTGCTCCTACGGAAGTGGTTCATGGCAACTTTGCTAAATGCTGGAAAAGAGTAATTTAAGAATAACACACTATTTATAATTTATAGGTTATGATTAATTAAAGCCATTTATTTAAAAGTTAATAAAAACTATTAACTAAAACTATTATTTAAAAGTTCCATTGTTTCCCAACAGGGGGTGCATCAGGGCAATCACCTCAGAGTTCCTCCTTACTGGGAGCCCTGGGGGGGCCTGCAATCACTGCAGAGCTCTTTTATTGGGGGGTCAATTTCCTCAGAGACCCTCCCTGCTGGGAGGATGGGGGGAATCCCCTCAGAGCCCCTCATTACTGGGATGACTGGGAAGGGCAATCATCTCAGAGCCCCCCTTTACTGGGATGACTGGGAAGGGCAATCATCTCAGAGCCCCCATTTACTGGGATGACTGGGAAGGGCAATCATCTCAAAGCCAGCCCGTATTGGAATGATGAGCAAGGGCAACCATTTCAGAGCCCCTCCTTACTGGGATGACTGGAGAATGAAGTTACCTCAGGAGCTGTTGTTACAGGGAGGATGTGGGGGCAATTCCCTCTGAGATCCATGTTCTGGGAGAACTGGGGACCCGTTTACTCAGAGGCCCTCATTACTGGGAGTACTGGGGAGCCTGCGTGCTTTAAGGCCTTTGTGGCTGGGAGGACGGGGGTCCCTTCACCTCAGCGACCCTCAGTACTGGGAGGACTGGTGTGTGGGGGATCCCCTCGAGCGCCCTCGTTACCGGGAGGGGGCAGCTGCCTCACAGCCCCGCAGTACTGGACGGAATCCCCTTAGGACCCCCATTACTGGGAGGGCTGGGGCAGCCTGGAAGCCCCTCAGGGCCCCTGCTAACGGAGAACCCCCTCAGGGGTCCCCGTTCCTGGGAGCACTGCGGGGCGATCCCCTCAACACTGGGAGAGGGAGAATCTCCTCAGGGGTCCCCGTTCCTGAGAGCACTGCGGCGGGGTTCTCTCAGCACTGGGAGAGGGAGAACCCCCTCAGGGGTCCCCGTTCCTGGGAGCACTGCGGGGCGATCCCCTCAACACTGGGAGAGGGAGAATCCCCTCAGGGGTCCCTCAGCACTGGGATCGCTGCGGGACAGTCCCCTCAGGACTGGGTGTTATGTCACAGCCCCGGTGATGTCAGAGCGGCGCGCGGTGTCGCGGCGCTGACGCGGCGCGGGGCGGGCGCTGTGGCGCTGTCCCCGCTGTCCCCGCGGGGCCCGGCCGGACATGGCCCCGCGCGGCCGCCCCGCCGCCGCCGCCATGCCCCGCAGGGGCGCCCGCAAACGCCTCAAGTTTCGCGCCGACGACGTGTGCTCCGAGCGGGGTGAGAGCCGGGCCGGGCCGAGCCGGGCCAGCGGGGCCGGGCCTGGGCCGCGGCTGAGGGGGCCGGGGCTGATGAGGGGAGCGGCGCCTGATGGGGGCAGCGGGGACTGTGAGGGAAGGCGGGCCTGAGGTGAGCCGGGCCGAGCTTGGCCCGCTGGTGCACGCCGGAGAGGAGGCCTGGGCCCGCATAGGGCCCGGGGGAGGAGATAGTTAAGGGGCCTGAGCTTGGCCTGGGTGAGAGGGATGAGGGGAAGGAGGACGGTCCAGTCTCACCTAGGAGTGACCTGAGCCCTCTCGGGTTTGTGCAGGCAGAGAGCTGCGTCCAGGAGGGATCCCCCAGCGGGGTTCTGGATGGATATGTGGCAATAAGACCTCTTTGCCTGTGGAGGAGGAGCCTGAGAGCAGAGGATCAGCCAGGCTCGAGTTGGGCTGTGTGAGGGAGAATGGGATTATCACTGGTTGAGGTGGTGGGAGAAGGAGACTTGCGCTGGGCTGGGTGGGGGCGTGGGTCCCCTGAGCCTGGTATACCGATGGTTTGGAGTAGAGACTTTCTGGGGACTCCTGGCCTGCACATCTTTGCTGAGGCTCATTTTCCTGCTTGTGTTCCTCCTCGAGCCTCTACTCCTCTGGGTACTGTTCCCTTTAGTCATCATGACTCTTAGCCCTTTTGTCCCCTCCCCATAATCCCTAATCGCTGTGACCCCTGTTTCCCCCTCTCTGCAGTGACGGTGGCAGATTATGCCAACTCAGACCCAGCTGTCGTGAAGTCTGGGCGGGTGAAGAAGGCTGTGGCCAACGCAGTGCAGCAGGAAGGTGAGTCTGCCCTGGGGCCCCAGCCTTCCCCACACTGCCTTCAGGTTTTGCTCTGCATGACATGGGAAACTCCTCTTCCTTAAATTGAGAAAATTTGTTGTCCTTTAGTGCTGAAAATGAGCATGTGCTACTCTGTAGACAACCAGATGTTAAGGACTTAGACAGGAGGTTTTGCAGAAAGCCTGCTGCAAGAATTGCTGAGTCTTTGTTAGTGCCTGAAATGGAAAGGCTTGGGTGTCATCTCCTGCTTGAAGCAGAAAATAACATTATAAAAACCTTTATTACTTTATTGCTACATATAAAACTGTAGATAACTTTATTAGCAGGTAAAGTTCTTTGCCGGGGGAGTAAGGTTGTGATGGGTCTGTCAAACACATGTTGTGAGGAGGTCTTGGGAGGCTGTTGCTGTTTTTTTGGCAAACTTTGCAAAGAAGGAGTTTTCCTGGAAAGGTAGTGCAGTATTTTGTTATCTGCTTCCTCCTTGTCTGGGAGCTTTCTGAGCTAACACACCCCACTTGCTTGAGAAATGGTGAGGTTTTGGCCTTTTAAATGTAGCTGTCACACGTGTTGGAGGTGGATGTTGTGTTGACAGTGATAACTGAACTTTTCATAAAGGGAAACTCTTGGTTTGCTGCTGAAATCTTGCACTGTTGGAGGCAGTATGCACTTGGCATGAGTGCCTGTCAGGGGCAGTGGTGCTCCTGAGCATCCTCTTCAGCTGCTACTTCTCAAGCTTTTAAGATCAGGGCACCTCCCTCTTTTGTGGCCTCCTTTGTTTGGGACTTCCCTCCTGTTCACCCGTCTGTGTTCTGTCTCCTGGAGGCAAAGTCCAGCACTTCAGCATCATGCTGGCAAACTGCTGGTGTTCTGTTCTCCCTGCCCCCAGCATCATCTGCTTCATCCAGTTTATCGCCTTCCCTGCTGTGTTTCTGGCTCACCTCCACCTCATCCTGGTGCCTCCGGGTCACAGCAGTTCCGTGCCCACCCCTTTCCCAGGTCTTTGCAGTGCAGTCTCAGGATCCCCTCCGGATTCAGGGATTCTCGAGATCTCTCCTCCCCCGCCCCGGGGCTGTGCTCCAGCCTTATCTGGCCCAGCCATGACCGTGCTGCAGCCTTATCTGGCCCAGCTTTATCTCGGGGTGTGTCTCGGGGTGCCACGCGTGGGCACAGGAGCTCCAAGCTTTGGCCTTGCTGGGCTCCGAGTGAAGCCCGTGCTGGGCGTGGCTGCAGCGGGCAGGGCCCCTCCCACAGCGAGCATCCCAGGGGAGCCGCGGCCGGGAGGAATTTATCTGGGCTTCCTCCTTCATGCCCAGGATGGGGGGATTGCAACACTGAGGTGAAGAGAGGGTGCCTCTGCAGGGCTGCAGTGCAGCCATTCACTGCTCGCTGGACTCGTGCTGTTGACTCAGAGGTTGAGTTTTCCTTAGCAGAGTGGGGTGGAACTCTTCTTCTTAAACCCCACTCTGAGTCCCTGTCAGTTTTGTCCTCTCTTGCTTGGCTGTGTTTGATGTCCTAACTCACTGTCATTTGTGTTGCCACCTATTCCACTCTCTTTTTACCTATGAAAGGTCATGTAGAGAGGGCAGGGGGAAAACAACTGCCATGAATACATCCAGGTGCCAGGAAAGCCTCCAGTTTACAGAACAAACTGTGCAAAGTGAGGTAGAACTGGTTTAGCAAAGCACTGAGGTGTGTCTAGTCAGTGGGTACAATCAAGCCCTGTCTGAAGACTGTCTTTCCATCTGCTGTCTTTTCATTTTAAAACCTTGTTTGGTGGTTAGAAATGAAAATATTTTTCACCTGAGTTTATGTTTGGTTTCTTGTTGTTGTTGTTTGTTTTTCTGCTACTCTGTCTCTGATTAAAAAGCACATTTTGCTCTTCAGTCGCTCTGGTGACTGCAGTGACTGGAACTGGGATGTTTAAAACCTTCCTGGGCCTCAGTTTGTGCTGAGTAGAAAAGCTTGAGCACTCTAAGCCTCCTCTGACCTCACTGTTCTATTCTTCACCCAGTTTGTTGGGTTGAAATTCAGCTCTCAAATGAGTTTCACAGCTGTTAGCCTTTGTGCTGCTGTGGCAGGGCTGGTCTCTGTGGCAGTGCCTCACAGCTGTAATGCAGGACCACACCTTTCTTTTTCCAAGACTGTCATTACTGACTTTCATGTGTATTTTTCTGCCCTAATGAGCCCTCAGTTTACAGATCGAGTTTTAAAAATAATATTTCTGGACAGAGATATGTCTAAACATGTCCCCAGATACAGGAAAAAGCCAGCCCCAAGCTCCAGCTGACTCATCTGGCCGTTTTCCTCACTAGGCCAGGGCCTTCCCCTTCACTAAATTCCAGGGTAAGTGGAACTCCTGTGCACTTGACACTGAGTTCCAGCCCCAGTGGATTGTGTCATCAGCCACAGGAAGGTTGTCCTGCTGCAAAGGGAGTGAGTCTTCTCCATGTTCATAAAACAGTTCCAGAGCAGGTGCTGTCTCCAGGGTGAACATGGCCATGCAAGGCAACTCTGCTGTTTAGGAAAACAAGTTACCCTTTATAAAGAGGCTGTTGTTTTATTTCGAGTTGTAAATAGCTTCAGCTAAACCAGTGGGATCTGCATAATGTGCTGGTAATCATCCTCATTGTTCATTACTTAAAACAAGCAGCTGAATAATTATGTTTCCCATTCACTCACCCCTGCTAATCTTTCTCTGACAAGGTAATCCTTGAGCTCCGGATTTACTTGCTTGTGTCACTCACCAGAAAGCTTTCAGGCAGTGGTTCCACTGAAGCATCTCCTGAACTTGGATCACCTTTTCCTTTCTGCTGTTGTACTCACTGTTGTTTTTCATTCCAGTAAAATCCCTGTGTGGTTTGGAAGCTTCCTGTGTCCCTACTGAGGAAGTTCTCTCCGTGTCAGGAGAGTCCTGTGACAGCAGTGATGAGATGGATACCAAGGAGAGCATCAACGGGAGGGCTGCGAGGAAAAAGAAGAGCAAAAGGCACAAAGGTGTGGTCACCTGGGGCTCTCTGGGCTCCTGCTACGTGTCCAGCGTGGGGGATGCTCATGCTGGGGATTTACAGGATGGTCATGGGGCTCTTGGAGCATTCTGGAATTTGTGTGTGCACAAAGAAATGCCAAGGGTTTAGTCACTTGTAAATCTGCTGGCGCTTGGTCACAGCAGCTGTATTTGCACAAAGGCAGAGCCTGGGGCATGAAATCAGAGCCCAGAGAGCTCCTTGCTTTTAACAAATATCCCTCAGTCTTGGAAAACAAACACTGCTATTTCAGAGTTGTGCAGTTGTGCCACTGGATATGTTGCTTCACTGAACACGGGGTGGTGGCAGCAGGTTTGCTTTGGGATTGAAGTGCTGCTGTCCATGATGCATTTGTTGGCAAAACACAAGCTCTGTTTTCAGTGTTTCCAAGGCTGTGGTTTGTTACAAATGGGTTTAAAGGGCTCTTTTCCCAGCAAGGAAGTGCATTTAATCCTACTGGCACCTTAATACATTAATTCAAGTGAGATGTATCCTTGAGCATTTGCACTTTGTGCAACTCCATAGAAATCCATTGACAATGCAGTGTAAGCATCAAACAACTCTGCTGGACTGGGGAACCCTGCAGAAGTTTCTAGTATCAGGTTGCTTTCAGGTTGAGAAGCAAATTTTGACCAGTTTTCTTGAGCATAATAGCAATTTATGTAGCACGTGATCATCCATCCACCACAGACTGAGGGTGGACAGCACTTCCTCTGGGAAGGGAGTTAAGAGATGTTAATCTCTTTTATTATTATTATTTATTCCTTCAGAATCCTGGCAAAATAATATCTGAGTGGCTGGAGCTGTGAGTCTGGGAAGACAATATTCTGTTCTACCACAGCCTTGTCGTCTTTCTGCTACACATTTAGGGAGGAAAAAATGGTGATAGAGCAGTGATGCTTCTGGCTGCCCTCTGAGTTCAGCAGTGTGGAGTTTGATGGCTTCTTGAGCCAGAGCTGACCCAGCAAAATGGGTGTAGCAGCTCATTGTGGGTGTGCCTGCCATAAATCTGAAGTGCTGTGGGGAAGTGATCACATCCAGAGCTTTCTTTGGCAAGTATCCCATGAGGATAAAGCACTGCCCTTTGTATTAACCTGCTGTCTCAGGGTAAGATCTGGCACCCTCAAGTTCCCAAACACCTCTTCTATGCCAGAGATCTCACAGCAGCTTTTCCTATTAGCAGTGTGCACAAGTTGTGTTTTCCTTCTCTGTTCTTAACCTTCCTAATGCTCAGTATTGTTCACCTACTCTAAAACTATTTTTTGCTCCTAAAGTTGGAGCAATATGTGTGCAAAAAAATGTGGTGTAAACTACAAAACACTCCAGGAATGAAAGGAGTGTGAGCCCTCAGTTCTGGCTGAGCAGTTCTGACACCTCTAAGAGGAACAGGCCATTCTCTCCATCTGAATTGCATTAAAAGTTCTATCCAAAAAGTTTTAATGAAATAAGGAGATTTAAGAAAAGCTGATTGCCAGATGCAGAACAGAATTTCCCTCCCTGACAGAGCTCCTACCAAAATATTGTGACCACTGGAACAAAGACCTGACAAGCCTGGCAGTACCAGTGATCAGGGTCTTCATGTGTGAAGCTATTTTAGTGACCAGTTGAATGTGCCCTTTTCATTAAAAATGCAGGAACTTGGCCCTCCTTTATGTGAAGTTGCCTCTTTATTTGACATCCAATTTTTATTTCTCAACTTCAGAGTGGTATTTCAGCTGTGCCAGGGTCAGGCATCAAAACAGGGTCCAGAAAAGGCTTTGTGGTTTCCAGCCTTGCACACAGCACTCACTTGGACAAGATGCTGAACAAAATGACCTAATTCTGTATGCTTTGAGCTGAGCTGCTGGATTAGAAACCTCCAGAGAACCCTTTCAGCCTGAATTCCTTTATGAATCTGCCACTTTGCCCACTTGTGCAGCAGGGATAGCAGTGGCAGGTGTCCAGCCCAGGGGAGGTGTCTGGCTGTGTGGACACTGATGGCAGTGGGAGCAGGGCCACTGAGGCTGTGCACACTGGGGCCTGGGTGTCCCTGGGTGGGAGTCAGGGGTCCTCGTGTGCTGCCAGGTGTGCAGCAGCTGTCTCTGGGTGGGAGCTCGTGCAGATGGGATGTCCAGGTGTGCAGCCCATGTCTCTGGGTGGGAGCTGGTGCAGATGGGATGTCCAGGTGTGCAGCACGTGTCTCTGGGTGGGAGCTGGTGCAGATGGGATGTCCAGGTGTGCAGCCCATGTCTCTGGGTGGGAGCTGGTGCAGATGGGATGTCCAGGTGTGCAGCACATGTCTCTGGGTGGGAGCTGGTGCAGATGGGATGTCCAGGTGTGTCTCTGGGTGGGAGTTGGTGCAGATGGATGTCCAGGTGTGCAGCACGTGTCTCTGGGTGGGAGCTGGTGCAGATGGGATGTCCAGGTGTGTCTCTGGGTGGGAGTTGGTGCAGATGGGATGTCCTGCACTAATCCAGCTGCGTTGCCTTTAGAAGATGCCGAAGGGGGAGGAGGAGAGGAATATCCCATCGACATCTGGCTGCTCCTGGCTTCCTACATCCGCCCTGAGGACATCGTCCGGTTCTCTCTGATCTGCAAGAAAGCCTGGACTGTCACTTGCACTGCTGCCTTTTGGACCAGGCTCTACAGAAGGTGAGACTCTAGAGGGTTTTAAAACCGGCTGTGGGAGGTTTCAGTAGAGAGCAGTTCTCTGCAGAGCTGGAAATAAGGGAGTAATTCCCTTTAGGCCTGGGCCCTGTGTTTGCACATTGACATAGTGATGTGGGCCTCTCTTGTGGAATATTCTTATCCCTCAAGGACAAGCTGGGAGAGCTGGGGTTCAGCCTGGAGAAGAGAAGGCGTGGGGAAAACATCCCTGTGACCTTCCAGTACCTTAAGAGGGCTTAAAAAGGGGGGCAGAGGGACTTTTTATATGGGTCGATGGTGACAGAACAAGGAGTAATGATTTTAAACTCAGGGCAGAGAGCAGGGTTAGATTGGATGTTAGGAAAAAATTCTTAACTGTAAGGGCAGTGAGGTCCTGGCACAGATTGCCCAGAGAAACTGTGGCTGTCCCATCCCTGTAGTGTCCAAGGCCAGGTTGGAGCACCCTGGGATAGTGGAAGGTGCCCCTGCCCATGGCAGGGGGTGGAATGAGCTGAGCTTTAAGGTCCCTTCCAACCCAAACCATTATAAGATTCTAATATCACATCTGCTTTGGGTATGGAAATGGATCTTTGTGGTGTATTCCTGTATGTTCCCTGTAAAATCTCAGAGCTTTGTGTCCTTTTCTGCTTGCCATGGCTCAACACTTGTATATATCAACCTGTCCAAGTGTGTATGGCAGGGTCAGTACTGAAAAGCAAACATCATTGATGGACAACTTACCCTGCCTCAAGCTCTAATCACAGCCACCTCCCTGTAATTTGGGAATTTTGGAGCTGTACAGTGACAGGACTAAGTGAAAGCAAGGAGGCCAAAGGGGTGGTCAACGCTTGATACAAATGCTTCTGTCCCAGTACATGCCACTGGCATACTCCTTCAGGAGAGAACATTTTCTTTATCACAGCTCTACCTGTTGCCCAGGAGGCACAAGCAGCAGGGGCACAGAGAGTGGCTGTGGTCATCCTCGCCCTGCCCCTGTTTTTTTGTGTGACATTCCCTAGCAAAGGCTCCTTTGGAATGTGATAAGTAACAGCCCTTGAGTGCAGGTGTTCAGGCTGCTCAGGCAGTGCTGAGAGCTGCAGTCAGCTCAGCTGGAAGTCCCTGGGAACCTGCAGCAGCCTGCAGCCCTTTGTGCAGCCTGCAGCTACATCCCCGGCCGGTCTCTGGGCAAACTAGAAATTATTGGGAATTGTAGTAGGATGTGTGGGCTGGAAGCCTGCCTGGTGCAGGTCAGGGCTTTGAGGCTGCCTGTGGTGTCCTGTCAGCAGCACAGCCCCCTCACAGCCCTGAGGGTTGAGCAGGTCGTGTGGTCAGTGAGATGTGTGTGTGGAGTGTTCCCTGGCAGGGCTGCGTGCCTGCCCTGCGCTGACGCGTGGCTGTGGCTGTGCAGACACTACAGCCTGGACGCGTACCTGCCCCTGCGCCTGCGGCCCGAGTCCATGGAGAAGCTGCACTGCCTGCGCGCCTGCGTCATCCGCTCCCTGTTCCACATGTATGAGCCCTTCGCCGCCCGCCTCTCCAGGAACCCCGCCATCCCAGACAGTACTCCCAGCACTTTAAAGAATTCCAGAGTAAGTGGCATCACTGAGGAGCTGTTTTCTGTTTGGTTTGGTTTTTTCTTTCTAGAAGAAAAACAGATGATATGGAGATGGTCGCCAGTGAAGCTGGTGTAGGATGGTCACTAACTGGGTATTCTCAGTGGGATTTGTAAAAGTGGACTGATTACTTGTATGTATAAAGTTACTCTTTGGAGTAACTTCTGCTTAAGTCCTATATTACACCATTTTAACCAGCAAAAGGGTCCTGGTATCACTGGATATGAGAACTGCCAGGGATGTTTGCAGCTTCCCTTCCTCTGATCAAGGCTCCATAGGATCAGCTTTTAGATGTTTTGCTGTATTCTGACACTGTCTGCCAGAGAACATCTTCTCTCTGTAACAGGCCTCTGGAGAGCTCAGGAGTGACACTGATGCCAGGAGTTGTGTCACTCTGCTTTCCTGCAGGTCGTTCATGGTCTGGTGTGTGGGTGAGGCAGGGTGGTGATGCTGGGGTGAGCATGGCAAATATGCAGAACCTGTGTCTACTTTGGGACTGGGCTGCACTTGTGTTTGGCTGTGAAGGGCTTGTCTGTGGTGTGGGCAGGTAATTCCCTGTGCTATCCCAGCTTGGAGCCACTTGCATATTATTCCTCTTTAATTGCTGTTGACCATTAACTCCGAAATACCTTTGTGTCTCTTGTTTGGTTTTAACTTGCAACTGGCCGATAATCTGTGAGCAGCTTAAGCAATGATGTGAGTTTCCACCCTCCAAATCCTAAGTCAAAAACCTGTTGAAAGAGGTTTCTGGAGCCAAACTGAAGTGGTTTTCATTCAGGAGTTTTTCTTTCTTTTCTATTCAAAATAGAGGAACCTTATCTATCTGTACATGACATCCCACCTTTCTTCCTTCCTCTCCCTGTCACAGGCTGTCCTAGGCTCGGGGAGCATCCAGCAGCTCACAGGAGGTGGTGCTGCAGCACAGGGAAAAGCACATGGCTCTGTGTGCGGCCTTATCTCTGCATCCAGAGCTCCTTGTTCTCTTCCTGAGTCCCCAGGCTGGGGATCTTCATTCTTGCCAACTGAAAAAGCAAAACACTTTGAGGACATTCCAGTAGTCCTGAGCCCAAGCTCCCACTGCTCATGGCTGTAGGAGCTGGACCCCCGAGGTGGTGCTGGCAGGGTCGACATTTCGGGAGGATTCCTGGTGACATCATAACGGCTTTGGTGCCCACTGCTAGTGCTTCTCCTGTACTAACAGTTGGAGGAGCAGCCTTTAAGTGCAGTCTTTCATTGTTCAGCTTTTAAAAAAGGAAATTAAATGGGGACGAGTCTTTGTCAGAGCAGTAGAGGTTTGACCTAACGCCTTGCAGCATGAAAGAGCCACCCTGAGTCTGGTCTTGCTGTACTACTGCACTGCAGGACTCTGAGCTGCACTTGTGTGACTGTGCACACAAATCCCTCAGCACAGAGGGTTTGGAGGAGGACCTGGCACTGCCTCCCCACGTTCTGGCTTTCCTGGGCTTTGGTTGTACCTTTGTGGGTTGCTGACACTAACAGCAATGCCTACCTAAACTGCATGTGGCTAGAGGAAAGCCCAGCCCTAAGTGTGATCCAACCTAGCTTTTCCTCTTTAATTTCCTTTTTTCTTTCCCTAGCCTAGCTTGTGTGGGACACTGGAGCCGTTATGGTGTCAGCAGAGGTGTTTGCCCTTTAAAGACACCCCATTATTTTGGGCGGAGCGGCCCCGCACGGCGCGTCTGAAGGGCAGGACGGCTGACCCGAGGACGACATCCTCTGCCCCTTAGGAGGTACTGACCTTTTGTCCTTCACTACTTGCCATGACCAAACAGGCTGCTAGACTAGGCTGCCTCTGCAGGTGAACTACAAATGCCACTGGTGGAGTTAAACTCAGCAGCATCTGCTGCTCATCTGAGTTAAAAGATCTGGAGAATGTTTTTGTTGGAAAAATACTTGAGGGCTGCTTCCTCCCAGGTGGAGGTTATTCCATGCATGTTTCTGAGCTTTACTCCACAGAGCTTTGTTGTTCACCTCATGAGGATTGTGGAGAAAAAAGGTCTTTTAAGGACTTGCTTATGAATGTGACTCAGAGTTGAAGTTGAGGGTCTTGTATCCCCCTTGGTCTCTTCAGAGCCCCTGTGATGGAGGCTGGCTCTGGCTTTGTTTTATTAGGATCACTCCATCCTAGAATGAAGTTAAATGTGTGCTTTGCCCTGCAACCCAGTCAGGCCTTCTCTCTTCAGGAGAGACTGTGTACGGATCACAGGGAATTCTCTTTACCCACATTATTCCTCCTTTACCTGCTGACACTGATGAAAGATAAGACCAGCTGTGTTGGGCTGGCATCTGTGGTGTGGAAAAGCTTTGTGGGATGGCTGGACTGATTTGCCAGGTTCTTTGCTTGGCTGTTGAAGGCTGGTTGCTTGTACTGTGACTGGTAGGCTGGGATTTCCCTCCTGCAGGAGTTTTTCTGAGCCTCCTGCTCTAGAACAAGCTCCTGGGCTGGAGCCTGTGGCCCACACAGTGATAACCAAGTGAAATTGGAGCAGTCCTGATGTATGTCTGCATGAGAGGGCAATGCTGGTTATCATTGCCCTCTGAGGCTGGTTCAGGCTGGTTTCTCATTTTCTTTGGAAAAGAGACAGAAGGTTGGTCAGACTGTCCTGGCAGTGGCTTTGGACTCGAAATGATGACAGTCAGCGCTGGTAATGGCAAGGTCAGGGTCTCCATTTGACACCACAATGGCTTAGGAACTTCTTCATCCATCACCTCATAGCTCATGTGGTGGTCTTTGTATTTCCCTCTGGATCCTTTCCTTCTAATCCTTACTCTGTTCTCTGTTGTTCCTCGCTTTAACCTTGTTTGGAACCCAGTTTAATGGGAGTTGCTGGTGGGTAGAGGGAATGGGTGAATCTGCACCACTCACACCTGCCCTAGGAAAGGGACAAATGGCACATCAGGATTTTGCTGTTTGGCACATCAGTGACTCCATGTTGCATGAAGAGTTGGCCAGCTTGAAACTGGGAGATCTAAACTGCTGAGAGGGTTCTTTGAGCATAATCAATTTGAATAAGTGGCGCCTAATTGCTCCTATGTAATTGTGTTTTCAATTGGAAGCCTTTATGATCTGTTAAAACTTATTTAAAGTGGTGTTTCTGAGGGTTTCATAATTTTGTGTTTCTTTTTTCCACCTCAGTGTCTGCTTTTCTGGTGCAAAAAGATTGTAGGGAACAGACAAGAAGCAATGTGGGAATTCAACTTCAAGTTCAAAAAGCAGGTATGAAAGACCCAGATCAGCTGTGACTTCTGTTTGAAGTAGAAATTATTTTTCTGGGGAGTAGAAGGGAAGTGGAAACTTTTTGTCCATTCAGAGAATAAATGCAAACAGATTTCCATGGTAAACTAAAGCATGTTGTAGAACTACACTCAGTTTTCAGTCTGTGTTACCAAGACATTTAGAATCCCACATTTTTATTTCCTCCTTCAGTATCCTTTCCCTGCTATAAGATGTGGATCTTCACTACTGATTGTTACCAAAAACCAGACTGTCTGACTGTAGTGGTCAAAATGTTGACCAAAATCTGAAACTTCTTGTTATGGCATTGCCAAGATTTCTCAGAGAAGTGAAGACAGCCAGCACTGCCAGGGAAAGCCTCCAGTAGTGGGTGTTGGGAAAAGCCAGTAATTTCAGGCAGCCTTGGGATTTGTGCAGCTTTCCCCTCCAAAGAAATGGGTCTGAAAATTGTCCATCCAGAGTGATGGCATTTTGTTGTTATTGTGACACTTTGCCCAAATACCTGGGGAGGAGGAGAGACCCTGCCAGGCCACACTGGGGAGGAGCAGCCAAGCCCAGCAGAGGTTCCTGCTTTGCTAAATTGGCCTCTCTTTCTTTCAAGTCTCCCAGATTGAAGAGCAAGTGTTGCAAAGGTCTCCAGCCCCCAATCCAGTATGAGGAAGTGCACACAAACCCAGATCAGGATTGCTGCCTGCTGCAGATCACCACCTTCAACTTCATCTTCGTGCCAATCGTCATGGGCATGACCTTCACCTTGGTGAGTGGGAGAAAGCTGCCAGGCTCTGCAGATGAGGTTTCTGTAAGGACATGAGAGGGCACCTGGAATCTCCTGTGTTGGAAGGGACCCACGGGGTCCCCTATTCCTGGCCCTGCATTGGACAACCCCAAGAATCCCACCCAGTACCTATTTTGGGCTGTATAAATCCTACTCAGCAAACCAGTTCTGGGAATCATATGGTTAATAAAGAGAGGAAGTGCTCAGAATCTCAGTTTAACTTCTCCATTTCTCCTGTTTGGTGCAGTGAATAGAGAGGATGTAGGAGGGTGAATAGAGAGAATGTTCCAGGAGCTGTGGTTAGGCAGTGTCTGGCCACAGGTCAGTTACCAGAACTGCAGCAGGTACAGGAGACAGGGAGCAGTACAAGTGGAGGTCTGCCCCTCCCAGGAATATCTCTTTATGGCAGTAAATTCTGAGAGGAAAATCCCACATGAACAAACTCTTTGATTGTGTGTTTGGTCCCTGATTGGGAGTCAGGGTTTCAGAAGTGGCCAGTGCTCAGGAGAGGTTCAGTCTGGCCTCACTTAGGAGTTGAGCAGTGAGTTCCAGACTTCTCCTGACAGCCATGTATTCCCAGGTTCACTTAGAATCAGAGTCATAAAATTACTTATATTAGAAAAGACCTTTAAGAGCAGTCCCAGCACTGTCGTGTTTGCCCCTAACCCATTTCCCAAGTGCCACATCCACAGGCCTTTTGAACACTGCAAGGGATGGTGACACCACCACTGCCCAGGCAGTTCCAGTGTTCTTTTGCAGCCCTTCCAGTTTCCAGCGTGATTATTTGGGGCTGCCAGCCAAACAGCTGGTTTGGACGAGAATGAGAATGTGACTGTGAAACACCTTGTATGACTCAGAGGAATTTATAAAGTCTAGAAGTGTGGTGTTGAGAGCTCTCTTGGTCACTGTGACTCTCTGAAGCAGCTCTGCTCTCCTCTCTTGCAGTTCTCCATCTCGGTGAGCACGGACATGCGGCACCACCGCGTGCGCCTGGTGTTCCAGGATGCGCCCGTGCACAACGGGAAGAAGCCGCGCATGGAGCAGGGGGTGCAGGTGGTGCTGGACCCTGTGCACAGTGTCAGGCTCCTGGACTGGTGGCACCCACAGTACCCCTTCTCCCCAAAGGCTTAGTGCTCTCCTGAGGCTGCAGGAGCCCACAGGGGACTGAATCTGGCAGGCTGAAGAGAATTTCTAGGAACCAGGAAATCCTATTTTTATTTCTGAAATAAATTCTGCAGTCTCCTTGCAAGTGGTTGAAGCTGCTGAGCTAGTTTGTATGTATATAACTTCTGGTCAGTTATGAGCAGAGCTGAGTGTAAAGCAGAAACTATTTGTAAACACACTTTTATGTAAAATTGACATTTTATGATTTGAAAGGAGCTCCCTGGAACTGTTCATTTAAAATCCTTTTGGTGCTAATCAAAGTGGTCTTGTGTTCTGTTGTTTGGGAAGAGTAGGAGGTTTTGCTTTCCAAGAACTTTCCTTTTTGCTTTTCAGGAACAATCAAGAAACAAAATCCATGTTTGTTTTACTGCAGCAGGATTGTGTTCATGCACAGTGTGATATTTCAGTGTCTGAGAAGCAGTGAGCAAGACAGCAGTGATCAACAATAATCTTAATTCCCAGCCCAGCAGATACCAGTTTAAGGAAAGAAAAATGTATAAATGATCAAACAAAGGAATTACTTGAAGAGGAGTTGTAAGGCAAAAGTATGTAAAGGTACTTAAGTTCTCACACTGGTGTTTTTCTTTGAAAAGAAGATCTAAACATTTAAAACCAGAAGGTGCTTTTCAGAGAACATAAACAGGGAGGAGGGGACAAACTAAAATAACTGAAGCAGTGATGAAGTGATGAAGGACTCGACTCTGTCTTTTCAAAGAGCAGTGCGGAAATCGTTTCTGTTGAAAGCCCCCAAGCAACCACTGATCTGGCTTTTGACTCAGTAAATTGATTTCTGTGAGGAAGAAGCAACCATGAAACTTCCTGTGGCTCTGGGCTGACTGAGAAGTGAGGGGTGCAGGGGCTGGGCCTGTCAGAAGTGTGGTCTGACCAGAAGGAACCGGCTGGAGGTTTAATTGAACACGTGGCTTCCTGGGGAGGTGCAGAGGAGGGGCTGCAGGGCAGGGGAGCAGCTGTGCAGATACAGACCCTGGACTGAGCTTTGCTGCTTATCAGATATCAGCCTCTCAGTCCTGCTGCACACCACATCTGGTCCCAACCAGGAGGAACAGTACTTGTCCATGTAGAGTGTTCAGTGAAGCTCCTGAAGGAGAGGGAGTTCTGCCATCTCGGTTTGGACTTGGTGGTCTTTGAGCTCTTGGTGGGTCCCTTCCAGCTCAGAATATCCAGTGGTTCTGTGACCCCACATGACCCTGGTGTAGCTGCCCAGAAGGAGTTTCTTGCCACTCTGTAAATCACCACTAAGGACATCTGCCCCGACCTTGGATCGCTGTTGGAGACTCTTCATGTTGACTTCAAACACATTTGGGACAGCTTCTGCCTCACAGTTCCCCTTTCCACCACTGCTGAACTGTTGATGCCACAGGTAAGTTTTGAAGTTAAGTTGGTGTATTAGAGATAAAGGGCAAGGAAAATGTGCTGTCCCTGTGCACCTGGGGCTGCCATGTCAGCAGAGCCTGGGCTGTGTCGTGGTTGTGTTGCAGGAGAGGCAGGACAGGCTCGGGGCTGGAGCTGTGTCTGAGGGCTGCAGGGGCTCTGTCCCCAAGGAAGCTGCTCCAGAGCAGTGGGGGACAACAATCTGCCTTTTGCTGTGGGGTTAAACACCACTGAACTCAGGGACAGGTGGTGAGCTCAGGCAGTAAAACGTGGTCAGGCTGCACTTTGTGGTTGTCTTGGAGGGTGGTGGCTGCTTACTCAGAGCCTGGTTCTGGCTGTGCTTCAGGCTGTTTCCTGCTAATTGCCTGAAAACTCTCTCATCATGATGCCATGGCCATGTGCCTGGGGATTGCTGTTGATGCAGGGTCTGGAGGGTGGGAGCAGAGTTGGTTCCTGGCTCAGGCTGATGGCAGGAGCATGGAGCAGGCTGGTGTCTGTGTGAGGCTGTGCCCTTACCTGTGGGGAGCTGCTTGGGCTGAGGGGCTGGGAACAGCAGGCCAGGCCCTGCTCTGGCTCCTGTGCAGAGCTACAGAACAGCTGCTAGGCTGTGTGTTCCTGCCATCTGGCACAGCAGGAATACCTTCTCATCAGGCATATGGCACATCCGGGGGTCCAAGGTGCTTGGCAGCTCCAGAATTCCCTGGCTGACCCCGGGTGGTGCAGCACAGGCTGTGACAGCAGCAAGCAGGTGGATGGGATGTTTCCTGCTACCGACAGACTTGCTGGATTCAAATATGGATATTTAGATACAGATGCCCCTAAGCCAGAGGTGCCTCTTCCAGGCCAGGCTTTTGGTAGGCAGAGATGTATAAAATGTACAAGAACAATTCTCAGTCTTTCCCTCTACAAAGCTCCTGGTGATCTGGTGCTGGAGCTGTGCTGATCAGCAGTGCTGGCAGGGATTGGGAACCTGTTCTGATCCATGTTGGGAGGATGGGGAGTGGCAGGGGTGCTGTGGAGGGGGGAATCTGCCTCTGTGTAGAGCTGCAGTTACAGGTGTTCCCTTTGGTCCTTACCCAGAGCATCAGACCTTGAACCCTGGGCTGAGGTTTGCTCAGTGAGGAAGTGACACCAAAGCTCAGCCCCGAGCAGGGGATTTCCACCCTGGCCCCTGAGCCCAGCCTCTCTTGAAGCTTCATTGCCAGAAAAGTCCTCTTCAGTGTCCTCCAGGATGGGATGCAGTGAGTCCATGGGCAGGAGTGGCTGTGGTTTGGTGTCACCCATTTCTGTAGGACACAGCTCAGAGGGGTCCTCAATGATCTGGAAATGGAGCCTCAGATCAGCATCATGGTGGCTCTCCCTGTGCTCTTCCTGCTGTGTGAGGCCCCGTTCTACCTTTGCTTTGTCCTGCTCCTGAATAATGGAAGGGCTGTAAACAGATCCTGCCTGGCTCTCTGGTTTCCTAGGGGAGACAGGAAGACTTGGCCACCACGCTCACTCTGCTCCTGTCCTTGTCAGGATCCGGTGTCCAACAGGAGCTGAGCTCAGTAAGGCAAGGCCTGGGGGCTTGGGGAAGGGGGCTAGGCCCTGCTGTGGTTCCCTTGTGCCTCACCCATCCCAGTCCCTCCGCTCTGGCCTCAACTGGGAGAACTGCTCCTCCCTGGCCCTTTGAACCTGGGTGTGCCTGTGCAGCCACGGGGCCTGCTCAGAGCAGCTTTTGCACCTGGGGCTTCTCTTTCTTCTTCAGCTTATTCTAAAGCAAGCAAAAATGTGCCTTTTAGCCTCATTTCAGCCACCTCCCTGTTTCCCCCGGTCAAATATTTTGGTGAGCAGAGCATGTTTGGGTTGGGGCCAGAGGGAGGTTTGAGAGCAGCCTTTGGTGCCAGGCTTTGGTTGGTTCCTGAGCACTAGGGCTATGCTGTGGCCCTCAAAGGGTGGCAGATGGAGGGACCCTTTTTCAGCATCCAAAAACCATTTGGGACTTGCTCTGTAGCACAAAGGGGGGACTGGATGAACTGGCCAAGGCTGGGCTTGTGGCACTTGCTTTGAGGGCAAGAGGAGCCAGGATGTTTGCCTGGGCACCAGGAGCTGTGTCCTAGTTCCTTTCCTGCTCCAGGCCTGCTCGTGGATGTCCCTGGGGAGGGTCAAATCCTGCCCTAGCACTGCACCCTGAAGCAGCCTGTGAGGACCAATGGGGAATTTGGTGTCTCTCCTGCTCCCCTTGGCAGTGCTGGCTGTTCTATTGGCAGGGCTCTGCACCCCCAGAGCTGTGCTGGGTGTCACAGCCCTCCCCCTCTTCCTTTCTGTGGGGGCAGGAAGGACCAGATTTCCTTCCTGTGCAGGGGTGGGGGTCAGGGGCAGCTGGTGAGAAAAGCCCTCCCCCTCCTGCAGCTGCTGCAAGCCCCACAGTCCTTCCCACCCTGGGCCACTGAGCAGCAAAGCTCTGCTGGGCTGCACCGTCCCAGCTGCCTTGGCCTTCCTGGAGTCCTCCAGCCCCTGCCCAGGTGGGAATCCCAGACTGCCTTTGCTCCAGAGCAGCTGGGGTGTCCCCACTGAGCCCCTGGGACCCCACTGGGACAGAGCCACTGCCACCCCACCACAGGAATGTAAGGATTTAAACCCAAACAATGTAGGAAAAGCGAAAGCCAGCGGATCTGGGAGCCTGGGGACGTCTGTTCTGCCTTCCCAGCACCATCACCTGCTTCCTGCTCTACCTTCTCTCTCTCACAGAGGAATTCCAGGCTCCATGTGCTCCCACGGGAGCAGCTGGGGCTGGAAGTTGTCATGAGGGATTTGTAGAAGATGGAGCTTGGCAAGAGATGTGAGGTCTCTCTGAAGGTAGGACAGCTCCAGGCCAGGAAGGAGAGAAGGGAAATGGGATCCACACTTTGTGTGAATAAATAGGGGGAAGGGAAGGGAAGGGAAGGGAAGGGAAGGGAAGGGAAGGGAAGGGAAGGGAAGGGAAGGGAAGGGAAGGGAAGGGAAGGGAAGGGAAGGGAAGGGAAGGGAAGGGAAGGGAAGGGAAGGGAAGGGAAGGGAAGGGAAGGGAAGGGAAGGGAAGGGAAGGGAAGGGAAGGAGTTTCCTCTCCATGGGGCTGCTGTGGGAAGGAGCTGATCTGGTTGGGAGCTGGGGACAAGTGATGCCATTGATGATTTGTGGATGCTCCAGAACCATGTTCCTGCTCTGAGTCTGGAGGAGGGAAGCAGTGGGAGAAAAGGCTCAGAGGGTGGAGGAATTGGGAACAAACCGGGTGCTGGAAGGGCCCTGTGTGGCCCACATTGGTTCCCTGGGACGAAGGGGCTTCAGTAGGGGCTTCATTCCCAGCCCAGCTGCGATGCCCAGTGCTCCAGTGGGAAGCTGTGGTGTCCTGGGGCTACATCCCGAGTGGGATCCAGATTCTGCCCTGCCCCAGGGTGCCAGGCATGCAGTTCTGGCTCTGCAGCCCCAGAGGTTTTTGCCACCTCAGCACAAGAGCTGGAAAAGAAATGGGCAAAAAGCTGTGCCAGCTCCGTGTCACCATCTCCGTGTCACCAGCTCCTGGCTCGGTGAAGTGTCAGGTTCGTGCCAGAGCTTGGGACGCTGCGGCTTGGCAAGAGCCCCCAGCGGGGGTTGCTGCTGCCCGGGGGACTGGAGCTGCCTGCGAGGATGGAGTCGGTGGGGCACAGCTGATGCCATCCTGGGCTGCCGGTCGGCGAGGCTGTCGCAGGTGCCACGGCGGGCTGGGGACCCCTGGCCCGTCCCACGCGGGTCCCCGCCGCCCTGGCCGGTTCTGCGAAGCTCCTGGGACCGAGGGCGCCGGCGGACGCTCCTCCTCTGCGGGAGGCCGGCAAGGAGTCGGGGTGGGGCTTTGCCGAGCGAGAATCCTGAGTCCGGCCAGCGCGGGGAAGTTGCCAGGAACGAGCGCCCCGGAGAGGCGAGGCTGCCGCCCACCCGTGAGTGTCTGCCCTCGGCGGGTGCGTGCCGAGCGGGGCTGGCCAGGAGCCATCTCCTGCTGCCGTGGGAGCGGGTGTGAGGGCAGGGGCTGGGCTGGGGGCTCCCCAGCTGTCAGCCCTGGGGACAGGATCGGTGTAAGTGTCCCTCCCTGCAAGGACCTCCCAGTGCTGTGGGACACCTGAGCTGACCGAAAGCTTTGGCCTCCGGAGCCGTGTGCTGCTAGAACAGGGCATTTCCCCTCCTTTGTCCCCGTGGGACAACCCCTGGAGCAGAGAACTCAGGTACAGTGGGGCCAGGCCCCGGCCTGACTCCCACAGCCCCAATGGCCACAGTTTGCCCATGGGGGACGTTGTGCTGCCACAATTTGCAGTGTCCCCTACCCATTTCTGATGCTGGGTTCCATCCCAGCCCTTTCCACCCCGGGGACCCTCAGGGCGGGGCACTGAGCTGTGCTGCAGGAGAGCTGGTGTTTACCCTGCTGGGTGACACAGCCTTCGTCTGTGCCTCAGTTTCCCCCAGCATGGAAAGGCACTCCTGGCAGTGGGAAGGGAGCCCTGGCCGTTCCCTTCTCCTTGTGCAACCAGCCCTGCCCTCCCCAGTGCCGGCGGAAGCAGCTGGAGCTGCCTGCACACCGGGAGCTTCCTCGGAGCCCCGCGGGACTGAGGCTGGGAATGGACTGTTCCTTCCCCCTGCCCTGCTCTGAGGCTGGGGAGGAGTTTGGCTCCAAGCGTGTGGGCTCTCAGCTCCTCCTGGCCAGTGTCCCCACAGCAGGGTGGCTTTTGGAGACATCTGCAATGGGGTGCTGGGCTGTGGGGAAGGTGCATGACGTGCTTGGAGCAGAATGGGGGGACAGGGATACTCTCTGCAGGCACTTTGAGCTGGAGCAGGAGGATGCCACACCCCTGGTTGTGCCCACTTACCTGGGCTGCTTTGTTCCTCCATGGAGGCAGGAATCCAAAGTCCAATTAGGGGGCTAATTATGGGGCTGCACTCGTTACCTTCTGTTCTGTTCTGTGCCGGTGACCCCTGTTCCCCATGGGCTGCCTGCTCCTTGGGTGAAGCTGCTGCCTGTGAGAGCTGGGGGTGCTCAGCAGCATCTTGTTTGCCATGCAGGATGGGCCGTTGGCAGCCAGACGTTCCCCAGCAGCCAGAAAAACCTTTGGCCACCCAGAGTAGCCAAACGCCCAGCCTGGCATGTGGCCAGGCCTCGCCCTTCCCAGCTTACCCTGTCGCCCTGGTTGTAGATCCCAGAGGTCCAGGCCTGGAAATCTACACCCAGGGTGGCACCAGGCTGTGATGTCCCTGTGGCTCTGACAAATCCCTAATTCTGTTCCCCCCTGAGCTGGTGAGGTCCCCCATGTCTCCAGAGCTGTAAGGGATGGAGAGGCCACACTCTCTGCTGGGACCTGGACAGAGAGATTATGCAGCTGGAGGAGCCGGTTGTCTCTGCTGCGGGCGAGCCCTGCCCTGCTGGACTCTGGCTCCGTGTTTATCTCCGATTGAGCAGCCGTGTCCCTGGGCGGGGTCAGCGCTCCAAGGGCGCCGTGCCTGCCGATCGGATCGGGGCACCTGCTCGGCACCAGCCTCTTGGGGAGCTCACAACCCCCACAAAGGGCTCCTGGGCGCAAAAATTAGGGTTCTCCTTAAAATAAGCCCAGCGCACGCTTCAGGGCAGCGGCCCCAGAGGTGCTGTGCTCCGGTCTGTGGGGCCTGCGGGTGGGCTCAGAGCACAGCGGTGCTTGGGGCAGGAAAGTGTTCAGGGCACCGTCCTAGGAAGCCCAGCCTTGGTTTGGGAAGGCTTAGGAGGGCCTTTCCTCCACGTTTGCATTCAAAGCTGCTTTGACCAAGCCAAGTCACTGTAAACAGCTTGGATGGGGCTCAGGATGTCTGCCCCATCAGGCTGGGCACTTGCCCAGGCTCAGCTGCTTCTCTTCCAGGGCAGCACTGTCATATTTATAATGGAAAAAACCCAGGAAAACACAGGAACCTTTTAGCCTCCTGCCACACCTCTGCTACGATGTACATCATCTGAAGTTCACTGCAACTTGCTTGACACTGTCTCCTCAGGGACGCTTTTCTTGTCCTGCCAAGCAGGGGATGGGACTGGGACAGGGTGAGCTGGTGCCTGCCTGGAGGAAGGTGGGGAGCTGCTTCCTCCTCACAGTGCTGGAAGAGCAGCCTGGGCCCATTTGAGACCTGAGTGTTTCCCAGGGCTTAGTGACAAATCCTGGGGTGTTGGTGACTGTTCCTGGGGTGTCCCCATGACCTGAAAGTTTTTTCTGAGGCTCTGTCACCTGCATTTCTTCTGCTTCCAGCTCCAGGGTGCTGCTTGGGGTGTCTCAGGGCAGCCGAGGTGTCCTGGGGCTGGTTTGGGGGATTTTGTACCTGGCTGATTTTGTCCTGGTCAGGTTGGGGTTTCCCTGTCCCTGCCTGCCCAAAGGGGACAGTGCCCAAGTGTCCCCTGATGCCCCATGGCTGCTGACCCACCTGTGTGTGCTCGGGCAGGGGGTCGGTCCCAGGTGCTGTCCCACTGTCCCATCCAGGGGGTGCTGGCTTTCCCCAGGCTGTGCCCTGACGTGTCCCCTCTCCCCAGGCCTCAGCCAGCAGGGGCCATGCGATGCTCCCTGAAACGCTCCGTCACGGTTCTGCTCGCTGTCTCCTTCCTCCTCCTCCTCCTCCTCCATGGGAGCAGCCGGCAGGAACAGGATCCCCTGGAGGTAAGTCCCCAACCAGAGACATCCCACTGGAGAGGCTAGTGGAGCATCCTCTATCCCTCCCTGCCCCACATGAACCCCAGCCTCAGCTCTGCTCTCTTCCCTGCCCCCTGTCACCCCAACACCCCCCCACCTTCTCCTCTCCCTCGGGTTGCCCTGGGCAGATGGACCCCCCTGAATCCAGGAGTTGGGAGCACAGGACAGGGGCTCCCCTTCACTTCTGGGTCCCCCTCTTGTCATCCCCCCTTGCTGCATGGTGCTCTGGGGTGTGACCTGTTGCCTGTGGCTCCCATGCAGGTGCAGCTCAGGGGCCTGGCTCCCCACACGATCCTGCAGCTGCTGCAGCCGGGGGAAGCCCAGCACATCCTCAGGGACACAGCTGAGCTCTCTGCACTCCACAACATCTCCTACCAGCTCCTCGCTGGCTCCCCGGCTCCCCAAAAAAGTGAGTGGTCCTGGACCCTGAGGGTGTGCACATCTGGGTGTGCACAGCTGCACGTCCCAGCACAGACCTGCCCCCTGAGTGCTGCTGGGGCAGGGAGGGGCTGGGTCCTGCCTTTTTGGGTGGGGACCTGCCCACAACCTCCACAGCCTTCACTGCTCACTCTGGGGATGGAGGAATTGGGGAAGCTCCACGTGCTCCACGCAGGTCCAAGTTTCTGCACCTTGGGACTGGGTGACTGCAGGTGTTTTGGGCTTCCCAGACCTCTCTTTGTTGCTGAGATCCCATGTCCCCGGGGTTGAGGTTCCAGTGGAGATGGTGAGCTGGACCACTGGGACAACCCCACAGTGTGGGAGGAGTGGGCCAAGCTCTTAGCCAGGTGCACAAGAAGCAATTCCCATGCAAACCCTGTGGGAAGGAGCCCAGGCAACCTGTGAGGCTGTGCAGGAACCAGCACAGGAATGGTGCTGTCCCAACCATCAGCAAGAGAGCTGAATCACTGCTGGGCCATGAGGAGGACACAAGGTGCCTGATCCCAGTGTGGGTGCATGTCCATGAGGTGTGGAGTGGGGAACGCTTCCAAGATGTGCAGCCATACCAATAAGCCATTTCTGCCCTATAGACTCTCTCTCTGCACTGTTACTGGCCTAGATTTGGCTTTTTTTAAGGTGTTTTTCAGGAATATTTCTTCAGTGGAGCCCCTGCCTCCTCAGCCTGGCTCTTGCTGCCATTTGGGCCAATTTTGGGCCTCTCCTGAGATGCTGAAGGCTTCAGCTTCAGGAAGGAGACAACAGCCTTAGACATGGTGTTACAAACAGCACTGACCCTGCAGGCTGGCCATGGGAAGAGATTTTTGGAGCCCTTTCATTACATCTTGAAGGGAAGAACATCACTGTGGTGATCCCAGATCAGCCCTCTGCCTGTTCATGCCTTTCCTTTGCCTTGCAGAATTCCTGGCGGTGGGAATGGCATCCGTGCAGAGGCCACGTGGTTTCTACCTCCTGGCCACACTGCAGTCCCTGTTCAACCAGTCCACGGAGGAGGAGCTGCAGGAGATGGTGGTGGTGGTGCACCTGGCTGACCCCGATCCTGCCTGGAATGCGCGTGTTGCTGCCACCATCGCCCAGAAGTTTGCTCGCCACATCCTCCTGGGCCGCCTCCTGCTCATCCACGCTCCCCCTGAGTTCTACCCCACCCTGGAGGGCCTGAAGAGGAACTTCAACGACGCAGAGGAGCGGGTGAAGTTCCGCTCCAAGCAGAATGTGGACTATGCCTTCCTGCTCGCCTTCGCCGCCAACCTCTCCTCCTACTACCTGATGATCGAGGACGACGTGTGGAGCGCCAGGTCCTTCCTGACGTCCATCCGCAGGGCAGTGGCTTCCCAGGAGGGCTCCAACTGGGCCACCCTCGAATTCTCCAAGCTGGGCTACATTGGAAAGCTCTACCGCTCCAGTGACCTTCCTCGCCTGGCTCACTTCCTCCTCCTCTTCTACCAGGAAATGCCCTGTGACTGGCTGCTGGTCCACTTCCGCCAGCTGCTCACCCAGAAGGACGTGATCCGCTTCAAGCCATCCCTCTTCCAGCACATGGGCCTCTACTCCTCCTTCCAGGGCACTGTCAACCGGCTGAAGGACGAGGATTTCCAGGCCGATGCCTTGGACCTCCCGGACAACCCGCCGGCATCCCTGTACACCAGCATGTCCGTCTTTGAGAACTACGAGCCCCTCAAGGCCTACAGCTTGGCACAGGGGTACTTTTGGGGCAAAGACCCAGCAGCTGGCAGTACTTTTACCATCGTGTTCCAGCAGCCAGCCCGAGTCCACCGTGTCCGGGTGCGCACGGGCTCCGTGGAGCGCCCGGGCGATTTCCTGCACGCAGGGCTGCTGGAGCTGGGCCAGCGCCGCGACCGCAGCCGCGACTGCTCCTCCTACGTCCCTGTGGGCTCCTTCAAGAAGGGGACCCTGGAGCAGCAGGGCCTGGAGAGTGTCCTGCCTGGGCCCGTGGAGTGCGTGAGGATCCGGGTGACCCAGGACCAGAGCGAGTGGCTCATCATCCAGAGCATCGACATCTGGACCACAGCAGGCAATTGAGCACAACACCTGTGGCAGGATGTCAAAGCAGCTGGATTTGGTTCCTTTATTTTTCACACTGCCTTTTTGGATAAGAAATTAAGTTATTGGCTCTCACTGCTCCGCGTGTGGAGAGATGGGAACCACTGCTGTGGGCTGCAGATGGGTCTAGGAGCAGGGCCCATCAGAATGTACCTGCTGGGGGATGCCCCAATGAGACAAGGAGGGGGCACAGGAAGGGGAAGGTGCTTGGGAATTCAGGGCTGAGCAGTAGAAAACCTTTCCTCCCGGGGAGGATGATGTACAGGACAAAGCTGATCAGCTAATTAACAAACCAAATAATTCATCAGGCAGTGGTTTGGTTTTTTTGGAGCCTCTCCACACCTTACCTGCTATAAGTTTTCTAACTGTTTCCAAAACTCTCAATTTCTAATTCCCTTCTCTCTGATCCCATTTCCTAGCTGCTCCTGGAGGGGTCAGGGGAAAGTCTGGGGCTGCTGCTCACCAAACTCTTCACCCTGCAGGCTCAGCAAGCTCCCACTGGTGCCCGGCCATTTCCCGGTGTCGATCGGGGGCGACGGCCACCAGATGGACCCATCGGCCCGGCCGCGGGCAGCGCCTCCCACCAGCGCTCCTTGTTCCCGCCCTCCAAGGGAAAAAAACAAATTCCCAGGCACCTCACTTCGTGTTTTTGCTTGGTTCACACGGAGCAAGAAGGACAGACAAGATGGGGCATCCAGGAAGGCGAGGAATGCACAGAATTGAGCACCAGGGAACAAAGATAAGCCAAGGAAAATGTGACCTTGGTATAATGTGAAGCTCTGGGTCCTTTTTAGCCCAGTGAGGTGCTAAAGGGTAAGTGGGGTACACAAAGGATCCCAAAAGCTGCTGTTTGGGTTTGTCTGGCTGGGTCAGCTTGGAGGGCTGGATGCTCCACTGGCAGCTGTGGGCCCCAGCATGCCGGGCAGTGACTGGCACCTCTTCCAGTTAGGCTTTTAGTAACAATTTCTCAGCTTCCTGCAAAGGAAGAATTCCAGTCTGCTCAGCATTCCCATGGGATAGCCCAGAGAACTCACTAACCTGTGCCAAGCAGGACCCTGCTCTGCCCATGTTCCAAGCCTGGCTCTCCTGGAGCAGGGCAGTCACTGCCAGCAGGGAGCAGTGCCACTCCTGCAGCACCATAACCACAGCTCTGGTCTGAGGTGGCATCAGCTCACCTGCTGGGCACTGGCAGGCAGATGGAGCCCCAGACCTGGCATGATGGGGTTTTTCCCCTGAAAAAAAGCCACTCAGGTAGTAGATCTTTGCATTTAATATGGAGGTGCTACACCATAAACTTCAAATATTCTCAGTGGGATCAATACACATGGCAGAACCACTGCAGCTTCCTCCACACAGCCCAAGTCCTGTCAGAGCTCTTGGAGTGTTCTGAGTGGCACAAATGTCCGCTTCCCAGGGCCCTGAAAGGTGTTTCCAGTGCTCCAGAAGAGCCTTTGCCCCAGTTCTCTTGGACACAAATGCTGCTGCCCACTGTGGGAGAACACCAAGGGTCACCAGTGTGGGTACAAATCAAGAAGTTTCACCCCAGGAAGTTTTTATCTATGGGTAAAGCGCAAAAAGATAGAAATGTAAATCAGCTTTTTACCTGTTGGACTCTTACTGATGTAGGTACTAACAGGTTTTGTGATATTCACATGCCCAGAGGCAAGCTGCAGTCTCAATTATGCTGGTGTAAACCTGGACAGACTCCAGAGGCATGGAAATCTCTCCATTTACATCAGGATAAGCAGAAGCAGCAGTGTGCACTGGCAGAAACCCCCTTCCCTTTGTTCCTGTACTGTTCCTGTGTGGCTCAGCACCACAATGCCCAAGGACCATCAGTGCATACTGGAGGAGGAGGCGGTTGCTGCATCCTGGAGAAACATCACATAATTTATCCCACATCAAAATTCTCCCACCATTTTTATCCCAGGAGGACTCAGCCAGCTCCCAGCGCTCTGCTCCCAGCCCCTGTCCCTGTGGGGTGGGCTGATGGAGTCCCATGGCAGCAGAGCCCAGGGGCCCCGTGGCTGGGCAGGGGAAGGGCAGGGGACACCACCAGGGAAGCCTTGGGGCTGCTGCTCCCTCTGGAGCCGGTGGATCAGGGAGGGCTGGAGGTTCCATTCCGACGCCGGGCTGTCCTGGTGCGGCAGGGCCTAGCTCAGCATCTTGTGCCGGTCGAACACCGTCTTCCTCTGCTCCTGCACCTGCCGCTTCCAGCGCTGCTGCGCCCCCTCCACCCGCTCCAGCACCGTGTTGGCCCTGGCGCCAGGCAGGCCGGGCACTGCGGCCAGGGAGTGAGTGTCCTGCAAGGAAAGGAACAGGGCTGGACACCAGGCAGTGCCCAGCCAGCACAGGGCGAGGCAGCTGACCTGGGGAGAGACTGCACCTCAAAGAGCAGTGCAAGGTTTGGGTTGTTCTGGTGAAAAACCTCCTTTTCAGAGCTCCTCAACACCAGCTCCCAAGTCCTTGCCCTTGGGGATCACCCACAACTCCAGACAGAAGTTCCCAGCAGAGGAACTGCACAAAGTGTAGAGCTCTGCTGGAAACCCACTCTTGGAGTCTGCAAGGAGCCACAGTGCTGAGGTGAACCACATCCCCCCACTGAAACCAGGCTGACAATGGATGGAGATCCATCGTGGCACAGGAACAAGGCCTATCCCAGAGGACTTGGTCCAGCATACTGCAGTGAGATAAACCTCACTTAACACCAGGCATTTACCATGTGCACCTGGATCTGGATCTGAATTACTGCTGCAGAGCAGGGTGCAAACCCATGACTTTGGGATACAAATTCATATCCTCCTGCAGGACGTCCTTTTTCAGCAGAGGGAGGCAATGGATGGACTGTGGACACTGGAGCACCTGCTCCTCACATCCGAGTATGACAGAATTGGGCCGAATAGTTTGTACTCACAACAAAGTACAAACAGGACAATCCAACCCAGTGCTGCAACTGCATGAATTTTATGCAGCAAGAAAATTTTCCTCCCCCAAAACTGGTGTGTGACAAAGAGAGAAAGAGGGAGAGAGTGGCTCTTTCTTTGCTACTGGGATTTGGCCAAATCATTTTGCCCAGGGTTTGTACAACAGTGTCCTAAAAGATGGGGTTTGAATGAAATTGTGCTCTGGGCGAACCGCAACAGAGGAGCACAAGGAACAACAGCCTGGATACAACCCAGGGCCCAGCCCCAGAGCAGGATCAAACAGCACCTCGTAGGCCAGTGTTTTAAGTGTCTAGAAGATGTTTTAGCCAACACTTCAGTTTGTCCTTCCCTGGAAGCTCAGCACCACAAAACTCCACCTGGGACACTGCACAAACAGGATCTGTTTGACTTTTTTTCCCCCCTCTAGATGGACAAACCAAATTCAGGCCAGCTGCTACAAAGTCCCCTCTGCCTCTGAGGGCAGGGCTTGCCTTGGGGTTGTTACACAGAACTCTGAATATTCCTGGTGCTTCTGCATGACGTGCAGAGATCTAAATGTTCACCTGTGTAAGTGCCCCCAAAGCAGCAGTGCTGGTCCCTCAGTGGATCAGAGGAGACAAGCAAGAGGTGGCTGTTTCCCTGTCCCCTTGCCTGCACCCCCTGCCCCCTCACCTCGCTGTCCTCCTCATTGTGCAGGGGCTGGGTGTAGGGGTCTGGCTTGCGGATCAGGGGGTCCACGAGCACCAGGAAGGCCATGTAGAGCAGCAGGGCCCCCACCACAGACAGGTAGATGATGATGATCACCTGCAGTTGAGGACAGCGCAGGGGGAAAGGATAAGCAGTGGAGATAGGAAGCACCACAGAGGTCAGGAAGATCCTTTGCAGCTGCCTTTGATGTGCGATCTCTTGTTTTCATTTTGCTCACAAAAGTCTCTTGCTCTTGCAGGAGGCCGAGGTTGTGCCATCACTGCGCAAACTGTGCTGACACTCACTGTGCCAACTGAGGGCATGTTCTGCACACAGGGGACAGGATGGGGCCCTGGTCAGAAATGCCTGGCACTCTTGTCACACATCCCCAGCAAGGAGACTGGGCTCCCACACAGCTCCTCACTACCAGGAATATCCATCTCAGGGAATCACAAAAATCACAGAAGTCACAGAATCCCTGATTCACTGAGTGAGGTTGGAGAAGATGTCTGAGATCATGGAGTCCAACCTGTGACCAATCCCCACCTTATCACTTTGCCTGGAGCATTCAGTGCCACATCCAGTGGTTCCTTGAACACCTCCAGGGACAGTGACTCCCTGGGCAGCCCCTTCCAGCTTTCTTCCAACACCCTTTTTGTGAAGAAATTCTTCCTAATGTCCAACCTAAACCTCCTCTGATGCAACTTAAGACTATGTCTTCTTGTTGTGTCACTTGCTGCCTGGGAGAAGAGGCCAAGCCCCACCTGGCTACAGCCTTCTTTCAGAGAGTTGCAGAGTGGGCCCCTGGCACTGCCACCATGTACTCGCTGTGACAGTTTCCTTTCTGAAAGAAAACTTTCTGGGCTCTTCTCCAGAAACCTTCCAGTGTGGCAGGGCAAGGGGCAGGGCACAGGCAGTGAGTGCAGTCACCCTGGGCTGGTGTGGCACAGGAGGGGGCAGGATGGGCAGGGCCTGAGCTCAGGTACCTTGATGGTGGTGGTGCTGCGCTCCTCGTACTTGCACTCGCAGAGCAGGCAGTAGGCCTCCACGTCATTGCCAGGCACTGGCATGGGCTCCACCACATGCAGACAGTTGCTGCAGCACAAACAAACCACAATCAGCAGCAGCACAAGGTGAAACCAGTGCTCTGTGCAAGGACACTGGGGTCACTTTGTCTGTGTCCCAGCTTTCCGGTCAGGCTGATAACACTGATCTGGTGTTAAGAGCTCCCCTCACAGCCTAGCTGCCCAAAGTCCCTGGGAAGGGTTGTCCCAGCACCTTTGGCAGGGATCTGGTCCAGGTGGAAAGGATTGGAGGGCACACCCTACATCTGCCAAGAGCAACCCTACATTTGCCAAGAACGGTGGGTTAACGTATCATCCCAGATTCCTCAATTTCTGTTCAAAAAAAATGCCCCTGGCCTGGGTTGAACATCACCCACCAAAGACACTTTGCAAACATACAGGCAGGGAATCCCTTCCTCAGCATCAGCTGGGAACTGCAGAGCCTGGCTGGCACAGACCAACCCTGAGGCTGCTCACTCACTCACCAGTCCTTCTGGGACACATTCTTGTTGTAGATGTGCCCGCTGATGTTGCGGTACGGGGGGCAGATGCACTTGCAGCGAATGTCCTCAGAGCTCTGCAGGACACAGGAGCCATGTGAAGGAGGGGACACAGCTCTGTCCCCTCACACCCCACCTCTGCTGTGCCCCACACAAGATGTCACCCACCTTGCTGGCCTGTGCTGGGGGACACAGGACACAGCCCAGCAGCAGCAGCAGCAGCACGGGGCTCACGGAGTTCCGGGAGCTCGGGGTGAACATCCTGGGAGCCTGAGGGAACAAAATTCACATCCAGGACAGAGCATCTCAGCTGAGTGCAGCCACAACAAGGTAGTCAAGAGATTTTTTTTGGCCCACTTGCCTCTGTTTTGCCCAGGAAGAAGAAATTTGTTCCTGAATTGCAGCTGATGCCAGCCAGAAACAACACAGATCCCAACAATGCTCCTGTCAGAAGAGCTTCCACCCTGTACAACCCCACACCTAAACTACACCAGCCCTGCAAAAGTATTGCTGATTTCCTTACAACTGGATTTGCAGAAAACCTCCTGTTCATCTCTTATTGCCCTGGAGCCCAGCTACAGATATTTTGGTGCTGACAGTTTTGCTCATTAAGAGATGCAGAACTAGGAGCAAGAGTGACCTAAAGCAGTACATTGGGGCCCCCCTGCTGCACTGTCATGAGTGGTAAATCATTCATCTTCTGACACTCAAAAGTCTTGCTGCTGAAGGGAATTATGTATTTTCCTGTCATGAGCTATGGGAAAGAGGTGGAATATTCCTAAGTATTCCAAATCAATTCCTAAACCTCCTTTATCTCAAGATACCTGTTCAGTAAATCCTGATTTTAAAATTACTTCAAGCTGGTAGCTTGGTGAATTCATTAACACATTCTGCTACATATCACAGAATGGTTTGGGCTGGAAGGGACCCTAAAGATTATCTCCTTCCAACTCCCATGTGTTTGGATAAAGTTGTTGCAGAGATGTGTGCTTCCATAAATCCATAATATGAATTTATTCCCTGTGCCACAAAAGGCAAGTTTGCCTTGGTGAGGCTGGCGTTCACCCTCAGAGAGAAAAGGTGGAGCAGGTGTTGGGGGACCTTGGGACAGCAAGGAAGAGCTGTTTCAGCAGAGGAAGGGGAAGGGAATTTACACCTCCATTAATCAGCTCCCAGGTAATCCCACAGCTTACTCCAGGTACTTGTACTCCATCACCTGACCTGATTCTATTGGGATTTAAATCACTGTGATATTCTGTTCCCTTTGCTTTATCTTATGTCAACACCTTAAATTCACATAATGGATTATAAACAAGAAGTTCCTTTCTTCTTTATCTAGACAAAACACCAGCAACTTCTAACAAGCTGCCAGACCTCCAAAATGCATTCCAGTTCTATCACCTCATCCACGATTTATTAAGGTTTTGCACCACAGCTTCAAAAATCTCCTCAAACAATGATCCTTTCCAGGGAGATATCAGGGGTTCAGATCTTCATCACAGATCTGGAGAACAGGACTGATCTGAGCTGCCCAGTGCACGTTCCCCATTTTAAGTGGGTCTGGACTTTTGTCTGAAATTTTAACACAACAATGGGGCATGTACCATTGCTGGACATGCAATGCCCAACTATCAGCTGAGTTTAGAATATCTGAACAACTCAGAAATGTCACTTTTAAAAATAGGAGGAGAAAACACGTGATCTATGATACCATAAACAAAAACTTAGAACCTGGGCAGAATTCACGCACCACGAACTGCAGAACACCCTCAACCACACAAAGGATATTCAAGGCATATTTATCACCAATATATTTGACAGCAAAGGGATACATGCCTTACAGCTATTTTTTCCAGACCATCAGCCCGGGCCACAGCAGCCATGCAGCCAAAACCAGCTGCATCAGGACCAAAATCTGCCAGAGCAGGAAGCACAGCAGAGGGTGCATGGTTGAGGTGAAGTTCTCGGGGGTTGTGTGGCAGCTCCCAGGATGAGCCCCCACAAAAGGCTTTCCAGAGCGTGGCTGCACACAACCACCCCCTCTTCTCCCTGGGATTGCCCAGGAATCACCTCATCTTTAACCTCCCCGTCCCTGCAAGTGTCCACGGCCAGGCTGCAGGGGCTTGGAGCAGCCTGGTCTCGTGGAATTAGTCCTTGCCCACAGCAGGGGTTGGGACTGGATGAGCTTTGTGGTCCCTTCCCACCCAAACCATTCTGGGATGATTCTGTGAACATCACATGGAGCACTTCTAAGACTCCAACCCGCTTCCCTCCCTGGACCTGTGCTCGAACCATCCCCGACCCGGACCCAGGGCAGGGCCGGACCCCTCAATTCCCGCCGAGGGCCCGGATGCCCCCTCATCCCTCCAGGGGCTTCCACCGCCCGGTCCCACCCGGGATGCCTCCGGCAGTGCGGGCCACCGCCGCCCCGCGAGCCCCGGGTCTTGTACAGCCCCGCACAGTCCCGCCCCGGGTGCGGGGAGCGGAGCAGGGCCAGGGCCCGACGCCCTCAGCCCCGGGCATGGTCATACCCAGCCCACATCTGTCCCTTACCTGGCCCTGGCTCCGGCCCGAGCGCGGCCCCGCCCTGCAGGCCCCGGCCAGGCCCTCCCTGCGTGTCCATTTGGCCAAGGAGCGTGACGCGCGGTGACGGACAGCTCCGCTGGCCAATCGGAGGGCAGCAGTCCGGCCGCTGCTGAGCGCGGCCCGCGGCGCCGAGGGGACGCGGTGCCGGCGCCGGCCGTTGCTGTGGCCGTTGCGTTGCCGTTGCCGGCAGGGCCTTCGGCGGACGTGGCCCGGGCAGCTCCCGCCTGGCTTCCCGGGGCAGCACCCGCGGGGCTGCGCCGCGTCGTCCTGGGGCTGAGACGCGGGATAGCCCCGCTCCTTCTCAGCCCCTTCTCACTTCACATCCCCGTTCTCCCCTTACAGCCCCTTCTCCCGTCACACCCCCAGCTCTCCCGTCACGGTCCCACTCCCGTTAATGCCCCTCTCTTCCCTCACAGACCCCGCTCTCCCCTCACAGACACCCCCCCACACACACCCCGCTCTCCCCTCACGGCGCCGCTCTCCCCTCATTGCCCCTCTTCTCTCGCAGTCTGTGTTTCCCCCTCACACCCCACTCTCCCGTCATTGCTCTGCTCTCCCCTCACACCGACGGCGGTCCGGTGTCTATCAGAGGGAAAAGCCCGGGCCGCAGTGCTGCCCTTGCTTCTGGTTTTGGGTGATTTGTGGTTATAGATGGTATCAGTGATCCTTCAGTTTCAAAGGCTTCAGTCTCGCTAGGAGCCTCTTGTGTTTGAGACTTGTGACTAATTTTGGTCCTTGTGCCAAGAGGAACATTGTGCCTTTCCAAGGCCACAAGGGGTTTGCCCAGATAACTTTCCTCAGATGTGGTTCTTGTAGTACCTCGGGTTTGCCCCACTTTCTTTGTCTGCACCCTTCAGGTGTGCAAATACCCCCAAGCCTTGGCTTTGCTCCAGTGGCAGCTCCCAGGCAGTTCCATTCAGAGCTGGAAGGATTGAGGGTGGCAGGAAAATTCCACAAATGCCAGAGGTTTATGTCCAAAGGGGAGAGAGAGGAGTCCTGCAACTTCATTCGAGTCCACCGGGGCACACCCACAGGGCTTTCTCTGCCGAATTTTGGAGGGCACAGCCTCTTTTTACCCCAAACTCCCGGCCCCACGTTGCCTCCTCCTTTCCCCACTGGCCAAGGTGTTAGGAAGGTACAGCCTTCCCTAACCGCCTACCACATATTCCCCCTTGAACCTCTTATTTTACCCCAAAGTTCAGGCTTGTGCAGACACTTGACTGTTTTAGAAGCCAAGCTGTCTGGGCTCTGCAACAAACCTGTCCAAAGTTAGTAGATACATTATGACCCATTTCAAAGACGTTAGCACTCATACGTTCACCCATCAAACTGTTTGTAAAGACATTAGCTTTCCTCTCAAGGGGCTTACTTGCTTCTCTGGCACTTTGCTGCTTTACCTGGTGCAGATTTACCTGGTCTGTGCTGCTGCTGGATAAAGTCAGGATAAATTTTTTTTCAGGTAAAAAAAATCCCTTGGTGGAAAAACAAGAGACCCAAATCCCTGGTTTAACTTGTAGAAATAGAATCACAAAATCAAATAGGTTGGGAAAGACCTCTGAGATCATCATGTCCAACCTGTGCCTGACCCCCACCTTGTCATCCAGTCCAGAGCACTCCGTGCTGTGTCCAGGCATACCTTGGACACCTCCAGGAATGGGGACTCCACCACCTCGAGTCCCTGGGCAGTCCCTTCCAATGCCTGACCACCCCTTCCATGGAGAAATTCCTCTGGATGTCCAACCCAAACCTTTCCTGGCACAACTTCATGCTGTTTCCTCCTGTCCTGTCCCTGTTCCCTGGGAACAGAGGCCAACCCCATCCTGGCTGTCCCCTCCTGTCAGGAGTTGTGCAGAGCCAGAAGGTCCCTCCAGGCCTCCTTTTCTCCAGGCTGAGCCCCTTTCCCAGCTCCCTCAGTTGCTCCTGGTGCTCCAGTCCCTTCCAAAGCTCCATTCCCAGCTCTGTTCCCAGCTCTGAACTCTCTCCAGCCCCTCAATGTCCTTCCTGAACCCACCTGCCGTGCACCCCTGGTGGGAGGGTGTTTCCAGTCCTGACAGAGTTTGCTCCTTTGATGAAAATAAAAATGAAAATAATAAGGTGAGATACATTCAGCCAGAAACAGGTGTAGATCAGAGGGTAAATGTCTGTGTAGCAGATAGTTCTGTTTCTGATAGTTTTAACTTTCTAGAAATGAGTAAATAATTGAGACTGCTTGTTTTAGGGCTTGCAGAATGTATAAGTTATGGAGTCTGCTATGTTTTAAAATGTCCCACACTGTTCCATGACCCTGGCATAGGAATTACTAATGTAAAAGTGCTTCCACAGAGTCATAAAGTCATGGGGTGGTTTGAGTTGGGAGGGACCTCAAAACTCATCCCATCCCACCCCATGCCATGGGCAAGGACACCTTCCACTAGCCCAGGTTGCTCCAAGCCCCATCCAACCTGGCCTTGGACACCTCCAGGGATGGGGCAGCCCCAGCTCTCTGGGCACCCTGTGCCAGAGCCTCCCCAGCCTCACAGGGAAGATTTTTTTTTCTATTACTTCATCTAAACCTATTCTCTTTCAGTTTGAAGCCATTCACTCATGTCCTGTCATTGCATGTTCTTGTACATAGTCTCATAAATTATATTCTAAAGGGTTTTCTCACCCCATTGCTGCAATGTTTAAAATCCCGGCCCTGCCATGGCTGCATTCTACCCCCTCTCACTGGAGTCTGTATAGGATAGTGGTCTAAGTTAGCTGGACTGATCCAAGGAAACATTCCATGAAAATAATCCTGGGTATTGGATGCACAAGGACTTCTAATTCCTTCCTCCTCCTCCAGAGTTGCTGAGCAGAAGAAGCTCTTTGGTGCTAAGTCAGAGCTTTCCCTTCAGAGCAGAACCCTGGGACACTCAGCGCTGTGACACAGCTGAGTTTTTTCAGGTTTAAAAGGCCATGGCCACAGGGGTTTTCTGTGACTGACTTTCCTCTGGCTGGTGAGGAGGTGTTTTTATCTCTGACATGCCTGTTGTCACAGCAATCTGTGCTTCTGTGTCTTTTGCAGCCCAAAGGTCCATACCACTGGTTCTTGTGGGGCTACAGATGACACTTGGAGGAAGCAGCCTGGCCTGGTGACAAGACACTGGAAATACCCTTGGAGGAAGTAAAGGAATAGCCCAGGCAGCTGAGAGACCACATCCAGGGATCAGGTTTTTTGGGTGAGCACCTCAAAAACAGACTGACCAATACAAGATGAGTTTGAAAGCATCATTTCTATTCAAGTGCCTTTTCCAAGAGACTGGTTTCAGAATTCTTGGATGGGAGAGTGAGTTGTATGTACACTTCCTTGCAGTGATGAGTGGGAAATCTCACACACATTTCCAGGAGACAGTTTCCTGTTTCCTTGCTGACTTTCCCTCTGGCAAAGCTGCCTTTTTGTCTGTCCCAGACAACTGGGATGCAGCAGGCTCGGTTATCTCCTGGATCTCATCCCTGTTGCTGTGTTTAAAGCCCAGCAGCAGTGGGGAAAGTGAGTTTGCCTGAAGGAAGCAGAATTTGCTGCTTTATTTCTTCCTACCTGTTGCTCAGTCTTGTCCTCATTCCTAAGTGCACCACTGCACGCACCCAACAGATGTGGTCTTGTTTCCTGAATTTCTGTGTGTGCTGAATGCAGGTCCCTTCAAAAATCTCTCCAGCAATGGGTTCTGAACCCTATAGAGATCTTGCCCTGAATTCCCAGTAATCTGGGTTGATTTTAGCCACTGACACCACCCTGTAGGGATCTGTGACTCACACAGGGTCTGGGGAGAGGCTTTGGAGACCTTGGGACTCCCAGTGACACCATGGGGCTGTTCATTCCCGATTTCTGCCTCCCACTTTGCTGGCAGCACTAAGGTGAGAGGTGCCTCAGAGGAGCCTTCCATGGGCAGTGCCCTGGGAATAGACACCAAACACATTTCATGTGGCACAGAGGGAGAGGGAGTGGGGATGGGAGACAAACATAAATGTGTAAAAGAGGGGAAGTGCATCAGCTGTTAATATCCTGCCCTGTTCCTTCCCCTTACCCACATAATTAGCCCTTGCTGGCACTCATGGTGTCAATCTGAAGGACAGGTGGCATTTTTGTTAACAACAGCAGTGGCTGAGGACACACAGGAACAGTTTGTCCTTGTTCTCTCTGGACAAGGGTGTTGGTGACAGCACTGCAAACCTCCTTCCAGCCCAGCGCTGAGGGTCACAGCAGCTGGCACATATTGTGAACAGATACATTGAGTTGTAAATATTCTAGAAATACATCCTGCCATTATTAAAAGCATCCTATAATTCTGAGGGAAGAAATTTCATTCTTCACCTGCAACAATATTATTTGGTCTTTCTATTGCCTATGGAACGAAATGCTTTGGGAACTGTAAGCTGACAAGAGAAGACTTCAGGGTGCCTGGGTCAATCTGTGGGGCTCTCTTCCTTGTGCAGGATGGGTGGTTAGACCAAACAATGGCAATTCTTCTTCTCTTTATGCTGTCAGCTCCCTTCCAGCTCCAAGGAAGTGGTTTGTGGTGCTGTGCCTCAGTTTCCTCGTTCAAAAGGTACCACAGCACAGGGAGGGGCTCTGTGAGGGTGGTTGAAGAGCTCGTGAGGGTCACAAGAGCTGCTTGTGACAGTCAGCTCTTGAGGACTTCTCTCACCCTGAAAGACCTGATGGTCTTAAAAAGCCTCATGGAGATTTGTGAGCACACATTAATGAACAAATGGTGTCAGTCCCAGGCAGGAGCAGCTGCTGTGTGCGTGGGAGCTGACAGAAGATGTGGCTGCCCAGCAGGCTGGGCTCTGATAACCTGGGAGATCCAGTGTCAGTGTGTGCCCTTGGGCCATGCACACACAGGCTGGGGTTGTGCAGGACCCTGTGTCCATCAGGACCTCCCATGGCATGGACAGGCAGAGAAGAGCCATTCATGTCCAGCCATGGAGGGCAACTCTGGACCATGGAACTTGGAGCTGTTTCTCGTGGGTCACAGCAGTGCAGCCATGAAGGTGTGATGGGGAGGACACTCATGGTTGGT